CGGACAGCCCGTGCGTTGGCCAATTTTTACATTTGGACTCGACGTGGTAGACCAATTCATTGCCAGTGCTCCGCGCGCTTGCTGGAACACCTATATTCTACATGTGTGGCACCACCACCATACCCTATGTTATCTGGCTACTGCTCCTGTGCAACACTCCCTTTTAATGCCGGCTTTCCGCGGGACATCCCTAGTAGTGAGGAATTAATCGTCTTACCGTGTACCCGATCTCCATGCGGAACAAACAGAAAGCTGTTGTTTCTCTTCGCCCTTTGGTGCTTGATTTGGAACCGATTTCTTCATTTCGTCATTCTAAAGAAGTCGAATTCGCAAACTATTTGTAAATGACCGAAGAGGAGGGGGTGGGGGACCTCCTTCCGGCCAACATCTGTGAACTGGGTCAGCAGCGGGCGCATACACTTGCTCTGCTAGCTCGCTTCACGACTGAAATCTCAAAGCAGTTTTTTTTTTTAAACTATTTGATTATCTTTAAGAAGCACTTTATCAGCTAAAACGTGTGTTAAAAAAAGAAGACTCATCGAAATCAAAAACCCTCCTCCGCGTCCGCATTCACTAAAAAACTGTGGCACTCGGGGAGAAAATAGTAGAAGTGGCAGCAAATGCCAACAGCAACCACTCGCTGGAAAGCGTACAGATGCATCCCCCTTAAGGGGATTACTTACAAGTAAGCAGCTGATGACGTGAGAAAATTAGAGGAGAGCCAAGTTGCTGATGAGCCGAACTTGCCAATCCGACAGACGGCCTCACGCACCAAATCTCAAATCACCTTGCAAAATCAGCGGCTACAGTAGCTGGAATTGTAAAGCGTACGAAAACAAAGAGAAAACTATGAAGTTCGCTGGTTTCTGACTGAAATGAAAGTAACGAGTTTGGACAGCATTTTATACCTTTCAGAGAGAGCGAATGCGGGATTTTTATGCAGATTTGTGACACATTATGCATTTCTCATTACACATTCGCATTACGCATATATGCAGCATGCAGCATCGCCAACTACCGAATGGAACAGTGGGGAGCTGGTGAGGGAGAAACTCCGCCAGCTTTCATACCTTCGTCAACCAGTGGTCAGCCTAGCAGTTTCAGAAGGTTCTTTTTTGAAATTCAGCGATAGTATATGAAAGCCACAATTACTGCATCCGAACGTGAAACAATGCATTTCATGTTGAATAAGCAAGACGACATGGCCTGTATTTGCTTCTGGGTGTGTTGGCTTATTCATCCATCAGCTGTTTTCGCAGCAGCTTATCACATACATGCATAGCACGTCGATTCTTTGTTGTACCTGATTGTATAATTATTATTTCTAATTTAGCTGCAGACTCATGTTGAGTCGAGATAGGAATCTCCTCTGTACTCACTGTCTGTAGGAAGCGGGGGCACTCGTAGCAAGTACCAACATCAACCCCTACTGGAAAGCTGTAGACGGTTTGCTCTCGGGAGGTTCGTTAGAAGCAAATTGATGGCGCGGTTGCATCCCCTGGCAAAGTCAATAACAATTTATCATCGAAACGAATGAACAGCCAAACAGTAATTGTATGAATTTATTTACCCCATTTACTTTCTTCATTTGCTTTCCTCAGCTAGTCACTGGTTCTATGCTTTAAAAAAACACGCTCCGAAAGGATAATCTTGAATTTCCGCTTGTGCCGCGCATGATAAAGCCATAACTTTTATTGAATCATTATTTTTTGAAGAATAGCATTCGTGTGAAAGCTTTGGATATCACGTTTTTTAAGCCTTTTGATTTACTCTTCCGGTTGATTCTCATATGCTCGTGTACAGCTCGCGGAA